AAGCTAAATTGTCGATGGTGTCTATGCAGAGTCAAAAGTCTCGTCGTGAAGAACTCCGTATCCACATTGCTAATATATATCGCACAGTTGCAGAAAAAATTTGGCCTGGAATGCTAGGTCGCAAACCAATTTTTCGCCTTCATTATTTAAAGTTTATTGAAGAAACAACTAGGCAGATACTGACGGCATCTGCAGAAAGTTTCCAAGAGATGCAACCTCTCCGTTTTGCACTTGCTTCTGTTCTAAGATCTCTGGCTCCTGAATTTGTTGTCTCCAAATCAGAGAAATTTGATGTTCGAACTAGAAAGAGACTTTTTGATCTCCTTCTCTCCTGGAGTGATGATACAGGTGGAACATGGAATCAGGATGGTATTAGCGATTATCGACGTGAGGTTGAACGCTACAAGTCCAGTCAACATGCACGGTCGAAGGATTCAATCGATAAACTTTCATTTGATAAAGAATTGGGTGAACAGGTTGAGGCAATACAGTGGGCATCTATGAACGCAATGGCTTCTCTATTATATGGGCCTTGCTTTGACGACAACGCAAGAAAGATGAGTGGCCGGGTAATTTCTTGGATCAACAGCCTATTTATTGAGCCTGCCCCTAGGGCGCCATTTGGTCATTCTCCAGCTGATCCAAGAACTCCATCTTATTCAAAATACACTGGTGAAGGTGGGCGAGGAGTCACTGGACGGGATAGGCATAGAGGTGGCCATCTTCGTGTTTCTCTCGCAAAACTGGCTTTGAAAAATCTTCTTCTCACAAATTTGGACCTATTTCCTGCTTGCATCGATCAGGCAAGTCTTGAAGTTCTCTAAGTAGCAAAATGTTTTTATGATTGGTTCTTAGCAAAACTAATTAAACATTTCTTACCAAGTCTGATAGCAAACACATATCATACTTCCTTCTTCATTTTTATCTCTTTGTCAAGGTTGATCTTTTTTGTCTCGTGCTTGCGTTGTGTTACTTGTGCCTATCCAAGCACACTTAACGATCATCGCATTGGTAATTATTTAGATCTGGTAAACACTTCTGAAGTGGCTGATTTCTGAAAGCACTTTCTGTGCATGCGTTTGTTGCCTTCTTTTTCTTTTCAATTCTTCTGTTCTGGTTATTGTTGACTTCTTTTCTTAAAACGCTAATGAGTTTATATTCTAATGCAGTGCTACTACTCAGATGCTGCAATAGCTGATGGTTACTTCAGTGTGCTTGCTGAAGTCTACATGCGTCAAGAGATACCAAAATGTGAGATTCAGAGACTTTTGAGCCTTATCCTTTACAAGGTGGTTGATCCATCTAGACAAATTCGCGATGATGCTCTTCAAATGCTCGAGACACTCTCTGTCCGTGAGTGGGCTGAGGATGGTGTTGAGTGCTCAAGTAGCTATCGAGCTGCTGTTGTTGGCAACCTGCCTGACTCTTATCAACAGTTCCAATACAAGCTCTCTTGTAAACTTGCTAAAGATCACCCAGAATTGAGCCAGCTTCTCTGTGAAGAAATTATGCAGAGGCAGCTTGATGCAGTGGACATAATTGCACAACATCAAGTTCTAACCTGTATGGCCCCATGGATAGAGAATCTCAATTTCTGGAAACTGAAGGATTCAGGTTGGAGTGAAAGGTTATTAAAAAGCCTTTATTATGTGACTTGGCGTCATGGTGATCAGTTTCCAGATGAAATTGAAAAACTATGGAGTACAATTGCTAGCAAGCCCAGGAACATAAGTCCAGTCTTGGATTTCTTGATCACAAAGGGGATCGAAGATTGTGATTCCAATGCATCAGCAGAAATAACTGGAGCATTTGCCACATACTTCTCTGTTGCTAAGAGGGTTAGTTTATATTTAGCTAGAATTTGCCCACAACGTACAATTGATCACTTGGTTTACCAGTTGGCTCAGCGGATGCTTGAGGATAGTGTAGAGCCGTTGAGACCTGCTGCAAATAAGGGTGATGGTGGTGGAAACTTTGTTTTGGAATTCTCTCAGGTTCCTGCAGTAGCACAAATCACACCTGTTGTGGATACTCAGCCTCACATGTCACCTTTATTAGTTCGTGGTTCTCTTGATGGACCACTCAGGAATGCTAGCGGAAGCTTGAGCTGGAGAACAGCTGCTGTTGGAGGACGAAGTGCTTCAGGCCCATTGAGTCCTATGCCTCCAGAGATGAACATTGTTCCTGTAACTACAGGTCGGTCTGGGCAACTTCTGCCATCATTGGTAAACATGTCAGGGCCACTAATGGGGGTGCGAAGTTCGACTGGTAGCTTGCGAAGTCGTCATGTATCTCGAGATAGTGGAGATTACCTCATTGACACTCCCAATTCTGGGGAAGATGGATTGCATTCTGGAGTTGGAACTCATGGAATTAATGCTAAAGAACTTCAGTCAGCATTGCAAGGCCATCAACAACACTCATTGACGCAAGCGGACATTGCCTTGATTCTACTTTCTGAAATTGCCTATGAGAACGATGAGGATTTTCGTGAGCATTTGCCATTGCTCTTTCATGTAACGTTTGTCTCAATGGACAGCTCAGAGGATATTGTGTTGGAGCACTGCCAGCACCTGCTAGTTAATCTGCTGTATTCCCTTGCTGGTAGGCATTTAGAGATGTACGATATTGAAAATAGTGATGGAGAGAACAAACAGCAGGTTGTAAGCCTGATTAAATATGTCCAGTCAAAGAGAGGTAGCATGATGTGGGAGAATGAGGATCCCGTGGTTACCAGGATTGAACTTCCAAGTGCAGCTCTCTTGTCTGCACTCGTGCAGAGCATGGTGGACGCAATCTTCTTCCAAGGAGATCTTCGAGAAACTTGGGGAGCAGAGGCACTTAAATGGGCTATGGAGTGCACATCGAGACATCTTGCCTGCCGCTCCCACCAGATTTACCGTGCACTGCGACCCCGAGTAACAAATGATGCATGTGTGTCTCTGCTTCGCTGCCTGCATAGGTGCTTGGGGAATCCTGTACCCTCAGTCTTGGGTTCTGTTATGGAAATACTGTTGACTTTACAGGTGATGGTGGAAAATATGGAGCCAGAAAAGGTAATACTCTACCCCCAGCTTTTCTGGGGCTGTGTAGCCATGATGCACACAGACTTTGTTCATGTCTTCTGCCAGGTGCTTGAGCTTTTCTCGCGGGTAATTGACCGTTTGTCATTTCGCGACACGACAACAGAAAATGTGCTTCTTTCAAGCATGCCTCGGGATGAGCTCGACACAAACACATCGGATAGTTCTGAATTTCACCGTACGGAATCAAGGAATGTTGAACCATCACCATCGAATGGAAAGGTGCCTGCATTTGATGGAGTGCAGCCTCTAGTGCTTAAAGGACTCATGTCTACTGTTAGTCATGGTGTTTCCATCGAGGTTCTTTCACGAATAACGGTGCCTTCTTGTGATTCGATCTTCGGTGATGCAGAAACACGCCTCATGATGCACATTACAGGCTTACTTCCCTGGCTCTGCTTACAGCTCAGCCAGGATGCAGTAGTGGGACCTGCTTCACCACTGCAATGGCAGCATCAAAAGGCTTGTTCAGTTGCAGCCAACATTGCAATCTGGTGTCGAGCAAAATCACTGGATGAGCTAGCTACTGTGTTTATGGCTTATGCCTCTGGAGAGTTCAAGGGCATTGAGAATCTTCTCGCTTCTGTCTCACCATTATTATGCAATGAATGGTTCCCCAGGCACTCAGCTCTGGCTTTCGGGCACCTCCTACGGCTTTTGGAGAGAGGACCAGTTGAATATCAGCGCGTAATTCTTCTTATGCTGAAGGCTTTGCTTCAGCATACTCCTATGGACGCAGCTCAAAGCCCACATATGTACGCCATTGTGTCCCAGCTGGTAGAGAGTACCCTGTGCTGGGAGGCACTTAGTGTACTGGAAGCACTCTTACAGAGTTGTAGCTCTTTGCCAGGTTCTCATCTGCCTGACGCGGGATCTTTTGAGAATGGATTTGGTGGGACAGAAGAGAAGATTCTTCCTCAGACCTCTTATAAAGCTCGCAGCGGGCCTTTGCAGTTTGCTGCAGGAACAGGATATGGGGCGGCATCCACTCTGGCTGTGCAGGCTAATGTAAATGAATCTAATATTTCACCTAGGGAGTTAGCATTGCAGAATAGCCGTTTGATGCTAGGACGAGTACTGGATAGTTGTGCGCTTGGCAGACGAAGAGATTACAGAAGGCTGGTACCTTTCGTGACCACAGCTGGAAACCCTTGAGACACAGGATAATTTTCAATCTCATGCAAACGTGGTTTTTAAAACTGTATGCTGGAAGGTTACGGGAGCTGATCAGTGTAAATAGATATTTTGCATAGATTTAGCGGTTTTTCTAATATGTAAGATTGTGAACTGTTGATTCTAGTTCTTAGGGATTCCATCAAGCTTTCAACCTTCCATTCTTGTAGAAGTGCTAGCTCTACGTAGTTTTTTAGTAGTGTTGGACCTCCTCTGTTGTTAGCATATCAAGTTAATGTCGCACATTCTGCTGAACAGAATGGAATATCCTGCTTGTCAATGAAGCTGATTCAGTAATGGTGATTCTTTCTCATGGTATTTGCATCAAAAGGTTTTGATATAAAATTGTTCTAAAAGAAAGTTGATCTTATTATATGATGATGACTCCTTCCTTTTTATATCTTAGATTTTCAGAGTTATACACTAGTCCCCCGGGACAACCCACACGGTCCCCGGGGCAGCCCCCCCTCACATGGGCTGGCAATCTCAAATGTAAGTCGACACACACAACACTTTCCAATAATTTAGGCCATAAATTAATTGTTAGCAATATTGTCGCGCCATATTCGTAGGGGAGTTCACTATGCACGTGACAAGGATGATGATGGTAGATAAATGCAGAGCTGCAAATTATGAAATCTAATTTATGCTACCCAGGTAATATTCTTGTGTTATTTTATTTTGGTTAAGTTATGCATCCACTAAATTACATATACACGAGAGTAATCACCCGAAATTCTAATGTAAAAAACCTGGGATATAAGCTGAAAATATCAAACATAAAATGACACACAACTAGTAGGGAGAACAAAATGGTCCTGTTAGAATTTACATTGTCCCAGTAGAAACCAAACTAGGGAACCAGAATACACACAAACACGCACGCATATAACTATTATAACCTCCACGGCACGGCATACATTTATTTTCACATACATCGACCACACAATGACATAATGACACGAGACATGCCAGTTTGCATATACAACTCGATACACTTTCAGATAAAGGTACTCAACATTTAAGTTTGAGTAGAGCGTTGGTGTAATTGACGCTTGGCTCAGCAGACTTATAGACCTCATGTTCTCTGAATAAAAGCTTTATATACACCCTCAAATTATCATTATTGCTCAATACAGGACTTCCAGGTCTCGAGTTGACAAAAGAGATCATTTGTTATGAGATGGATTCTTCTTCAACAAGGCATAGGCGTCGCTATATATAGCCACCAGATTAGAAAAGACAGCAAGGACAATCATCAATGACACGAGACATGCCAGTTTGCATATACAACTCGATACACTTTCAGATAAAGGTACTCAACATTTAAGTTGAGTAGAGCGTTGGTGTAATTGACACTTGGCTCAGCAGACTTATAGACCTCATGTTCTCTGAATAAAAGCTTTATATACACCCTCAAATTATCATTATTGCTCAATACAGGACTTCCAGGTCTCGAGTTGACAAAAGAGATCATTCGTTATGAGATGGATTCTTCTTCAACAAGGCATAGGCGTCGCTATATATAGCCACCAGATTAGAAAAGACAGCAAGGACAATCATGAAAATACTTAAGATCTTGTCCCTCTTTGTAGCTATGCCATATCGATCCCTGACATCACAAGAAATAATTGAACACTTACTTTTTATCAAGATCATGGACCAAAAGAATACCAAAATAAACAGGAGAAATTTTTAGAAACAAGAAACAAAAGGTTTATTAGTAGTTGCTAGTATAAAGGAAGGATAAAGCAAAATATGGATAAAACATAACAGGGAGTGTATTTTAGAAAGTAACAGTCGAAGCTTGCAAGAAGACTAAATCTAATTTGGTATCTTCCAGTAGTTAAAAGCAGCAAAATACAGGAAACTGTAACATACTTTAGAATAACTGCAGCAGGAAAGATGAAACCGATGCAAACAGCAGCTGTTGCTCCAGTGAACTGGAAAGCATCCCATATGCTGGGTATAAAATTTGCACCCAAAAAGATGATAATGATGAGCCCAGTGCTGAGCGATGCAAATCTCAATTTGTCTGAAGCCAATGGCCTTGCAGATGGAAAGAGGAGGCCATCTAAGTTTAACCGCAGTGGATATAAAACAATGGGAAAGACAAGCATCAAGTGGGCAGCATAGCTAACACGAACAGCATCATTAAGCAGGGAGCCATATGGAATTCCTAGGTCCGTATCGAAGTTGGCAAGTACATCATCAAGTGTTGCATCACCAAATAAGAGGAATCCGAAGAGGCTAGTCAATACATATACACTTGAGCAGAGAGCAAGGGACGTTCTCACAACTGCTTTGATCTGTGTGTTGTCCTCAAGTTCATTGTCAATTGTGTGCACTGTAAAACTTCCAATTTCTCAGAATCGACAGGGCTATGTAAAGTATTACATTTCCAAAGAACAGAAAACACTTCACTTAGCGAGGGAAAAAAACATTGATAGGCCCTCAATTAGCCTTCNTGTAAAGTATTACATTTCCAAAGAACAGAAAACACTTCACTTAGCGAGGGAAAAAAACATTGATAGGCCCTCAATTAGCCTTCATGTACATTTGAATCTTATCTGTTCAAAGGCAGGTGGATATAGGTGTAAACGTTTCTCTTTACAAGTTAATGCTAGGATCGTCCAGATAACCAAAATGTCTTTGTCTTTCTAATTCTCGAGGCACATCTGATAGAAATTTGTTTTACTCAATAATATTGTTAGAACCATCAGACATCCCCTTCACTCAAAAAATATCATTTTGTTTCCTACCAGATATGGCATAACTTTGGACATAAAGAGTTTTCTTTATCATCTTTCTCTTTTAATTTAAAAGCAAGTTTCAGAAAACATAAAAGAAAGATACTAGAACTTTTTTGTATCAAATTGACCAGCAGGCAATAGGTTTTCATGCTCCTAACATCCTGAAATGAAGGAGAGACCATTGAACGAGCAATTTCATGACCAGATATGGAATTACATACCATTGTAGTGGCAAATGTATGCAGTGACAAGAACAGGAACTACAGTGAAGAGGTTGAAGAATGACGTCACACTGGTAACATCAGGTAGCAATCTAGGCATCAAAATAGTCCCATTTATCAACTTGAAGACTGTAATGCCCACAGTAATAACAAGGAAAACAACAGCTAGTGCAACTGATAAAGCAGATGTATAACTCAATGAATCTGCATTCACAAATAAATAGCACATTCAGTTTCTGGTACTGTGAAACGGTAAGTTGGAGGAGAAAAGAATAATGACTAGCAGAATCTGCAAATGTAAGGTGCATGATTAAAATAAATTAGAATTTCAAAAATATTATTCAGTGACAAGTTCTTCCTTGATGATATCCTCTAGATAGCATTTAGTGGGAGAAAGAAGTCATACTTTATTACTGAATCTATAAACAAAATATAGAGAAGAATAAATCAAGAAATCTGAAAAACGCCCCCGAAATCTTTTCTTGGAGGAATATTGGTTCATACACTTGTATCTTTCTAACACCAGGAAGAGAAATAAACTTGAAATCTCACACACACAGAATTGCATCAATCATTATATTTCCAAAGGTGTACGCTACCCTGCAATTTCAAATGACCAATCCGTAGATCCTGGTTAGCATGTCGAAGAATGGTTATGTATTATTAATTAACATAACCTTAATTATGAAGGCATTACAGTAAGCAATTGGTAATTACTAAATCAAAAAAGAAGTGACTCACCAATTCGCTTCAAGCTGGCCAATGGTGCAAATATAGCGAGGGTGGTCACAAGAAGAACAAAAAATCTTCCATTCCACCAATGCTCTCCAAACCAACCTTCCAAGACACCAGGATGGTGAATTCCACTTGATGTTGTTCCAGAAAGCACATCACCTTAATAAATACAAAGCTAATAAGTTTATTAAGGACTTGAGAACCTCCGTGAAGACAATTTCTATGTATAAATGAACGTAGTACCTATTATGATCATGTATACAACAAGCACACCAACATTGTTGACTAATACACATATTTGCAATATCATCCGGCCATACTTTCCAAATGTATCCCCCATAAGACCTCCATAGGAAACTGACTTTGATGTCCTACCAAACCTTAGCAAAAACTCAATTGAAGCCTCCGTCAAGAATGCCATGAAAATGATCACGACAATCCCAAGGATAAGTCCTAATAGCTTCATGGTTGCAGGCAATGCCATAATTCCAGCACCAACAATTGTTGTCGATAGATTAAAAACTGCCCCACTAAAGGAAGCTCCATTGAATTCATCAGACCCACTGTCTCCCTCATGATTTGTAGGCAACAATGGGGATTTCTCATCCACAATCACTTCTTTGCTCTTTTGTGATTTTTTTTGTTTACTTCCAATCGTCATTTTCAATTAGTTTGTCAAATTATTGAAGCAAAGATTAATCCCTGAAATGAATTTATAAATGATCAACCTCTTAATTTCTTTGAGCAAAAAGGAAGTTGGATTTAATGTGTGTCAAAATTCTAGAAAAAATATCTTCTTGGCAAATCTGGATAACCCGGTATTTACTATGATTATTTAAAGAATTACACGAGCTTATTTCTTTGATTTATCGATCAAAGTGCTTTGACCAAAAAAATAATAATAATAACAATCTCCAACAAAACCAATAGGTACTGATGATTTCCACGGAAACTAGTGTTTTCACAATAGAATTGAAGAACATATGCAAAGAAAAGGCTTATTCAAGGAAAACATCAAAATTGCCCTGATACCTATTCTTATCCAAATTCACAGATATTCAACGAGAAATCAAAATCATTGCCAATTATCAAGAAATTAAGCTTCAAATTTAAGAAAAATCAAAATACAAAGAAAACCTGGAAAATAGAAATAGCACACCTCCAAATAAGGGAGCCGGGAAGGAAAATAGAGAAAGAATGGTTCACGCAACGTGTTTGACGAATGTGTAATTAATAATGGAAACTTGTTGCCATTATACGTACAGTTTTCAGTATTAATACTTGAAGAAAAATCAAGCCCACAAAATTCTGCACCAACCACGGTAAATATTCTTGCAGTAAATTTGAGAAAATTGCCTGAAAATACGAAGGGCGAGCAAGTTTTGTACGGACGAAGGAAGGACAACCATTGGTGTCATTGTCATCGTTGTTTTGGCGGGTCCGTACAGATAACCCGCCAAAGGCAGCCTTCAGATAGTGGTGGTGTGGATATAAATCTTTATTTTTTTTATTATATAACTTTTGTGTATTTTTATCTTTTAAAGGAAAGAAATGTGTGGGAGTAATTAAACAAAAATAATGCTACTTAGTCTCAATCTAATTGTCACTGAATAATAGGTTAAATGAAAATGTGAACTTTTTATTAATGTGATATTAAATGATAAGTAAAATTAAATAAGTCAGTGATTTCACATTTCATTCAACATATTACTTAGTGTTATCGAGATTGGGATTGTAATCCCAATAAGACTAAACAACATTACTCATTAAAAAATGGCTTCTTAGTACAAAATGTCCATGCTTTTGATCTTTAGTGTGCAAAAGGTTTCTACGTTTCAATTTTTTACATTTTCACCTCTATTTCCACGTTTTATTGTAAAAAATGAAATTTTCATCAATTTTTATCCAATTTTGTCAATTAAGAATTATGAAATGACAAATATATCATCCTATTTAAATAAAACAAAAAAGAAAAGAAAAATAAAGAATAATTTGCAATCATACCTCTAATTTTTTAAAAAAAGTACAAATAAATCCCAAATAAATTAAATTAAAAAAATCAAAAATGAAAAGAAAAATCAACATATTGGCACACGAGTTAGTTATTCCAATGGTAACTAAACTAAGGTCCATATCTTTGGTTAGCCACTAAAATTTAAAATATCGAGTTTTGGTCACCGAACTTAGGTACATGTTTTCGATAGCTCACTAAAATTTAAAATATTGAGTTTTGATCACCGAACTTTAGAAAATGTCATACGTTACTCACTTGTATAACTGTTTAACTTTGAAAAATATCGAGTTTACAGTGAGTAATGTATAACATTTTTTAAAGTTCAATTGCCAAAACTCGACATTTTAAATTTCAATAAAGAATTGAAGACATGGACCTAAATTCAGTAATCAAAACTCGACATTTTAAACCTCAGTGACCAATTAAAGACATGTAACTAAGTTCAGTAACCATTGGAACAATTAATTCCCCGCACACAGACGTCACTCCCCTCTCACCCTACCCCCACGGACCAATATATAACCTCCGACCCAAAACCCAAACCCATACATACAAAACGCTCCATTACCAGCAATGTCGACCTCCTCCGCCCAAATGGACCCTGCGATCTGGCATGCCACCACGGGCTTCTCCTTTCATATCGCCAATGTCAATTCTCGTGTGTACTACTTTCCTCAAAGTCACCTGAAACACTTCACACTAATCAAAAATTACAACATTTTGCTTTTAAAACCCTTTTGATTTCCTGTCCAAACCTTATCGTATCCTTCCTTTTGGACCATTTTCCGACCAACCATTTGTCACAATTTGTCTCCTTTCCTCCAGTCACGTGGGCTGCACGTGGTAACAGAGAATGTTGAGAAAAGGGGTATGGATGAGAGCAATGTTGTTTCGTTTGCTAAGATTTTGACACCTTAACGATGGGGGATTCCCCAATCCGAGATTGTGTCGATTTGATTTTCTCCCAGCTTGACTTCTCGGTTGACCCGTCGGTTCAAACTCTTGGAGGTAATACATGGAAATGATCTTTGGACTGTAGCAAATTTTAACATTGGCCTTTGACTCATTAAATGAATAAAAAAAATTAAAATATAAGTTTACAGTAAAAGAGCGATTTTACCCTTCACTATACACCGACTGTTAGAAAAAATCCAAACCGACCGATCGACCGAACTTCGAAGAAAATCGACGCCAACTGCTTGAAGAACGACCGCTCAACCACCAGCCGAAAACACCAACGTTCAATCCGTACTTGCACGCTATTATTCCGGTTAGTTTTTTGCGCTCGAAGTTTATTATTACAAGTTTTAGTTTTTAGATTCATTATTTTTACGTTTATTCGGTTTAAATTCATCATCATGTAAAGTTGTTAGATTGTGGGTGTGAATGGAGTAAAAAATGTGAATTTTTTTGTAATTTTTGGACCTCTCCATCGTCGACATGGCGAATTCGCTTGCGGGAAGACGACGACTGTTAACAGTCTGCCTAATTATTGTTAACAGTCATGGGCCGATTGTTAAACAGTCAGTCCGACTGTTAACAGTCGGTCCAGTGAATGTTTAATTATTATTATTTTTTCAATTTTTATAATTAATTTATTTTTTTATTTGATTAAATAATTATGTTATTTATTTACTTATTTAATTTTTATAATTGTCTCTTATTTATATAATTTAATAATCGAATATTATCTAAAATTAACAATTTATTTTGTTCATTTTATTTTTTTTTTATGAAATAATCTTTGATTTTTTTTTTCAAATTTATTTAGATAATATATTTGTTTTCTAAATTTTTTAAAAATGTATTTAATTTGAAATTTTTTGTTCGTAAATATATTTTTCAAATGATTACAAGATTAATTTGATTAAATAATAATTATGTTAATTTTTTTTATAATTTCCTTTTTTTAAATAATTTAATAATTGAATAGATAATGTTATCCGAAATTAAAAATTTATTTTGTTCCTTTTATTTTTCTTTTATGAAATAATCTTTGATTTTGTTCTATTTTATTTAAATAATATTGGTATTCTTTATTTTTTTTTAAATGTATTTAATAAAAAAAATTTTGTAAATATATTTTCCAAATGTAATATACAAGATAAACTAAATTATTTTAATTTTTAAATTTGTATTGAATTTATTTTGTTATTAGCGTCAATGTCTTGTGTATTGTATGATAGTTATAATTCGACTGCCTTGATTTTTTGAGATTATGCGTTACTTTATTATCCATTGTTCAATGTTCTAACGTTTGAATTTTTGCAGGATGGAGTATCATTTAGATGGGGAGTTGAAACGGATGGCGGGGAAAGCTACTTGGAACAGTAGCTTTGAGCGTTTTACTGCGGTGTTAGAGCTGCTTGATGATCATCATGGAGATATGCTACGACAGTCCTTCTTGTGGCCACTGTACCAGATGCGAGAGGTGCAGTACTCAAGACGGATCATCAATGCACTTCTATGTCAACTTTTGAGGTCAATCGATGGCGATTCCCTCCACTTCGACCTCGGGGCAAGGTCGTCAGTTTCTCGATTTATGAGTTTAGCTTGATCACTAGACTGAGGATTACGGGCGACGATACAGCTATTGAGAGAAGCAATAGGCTATACGAGACGTACTTCCAGGGACATGGGTCAGTGCATCTACCCGAGTTGATGGTCGCGATTAGGGGGTGCGACCAGATGCTAGATAGATTGAAGCTTGGGTTGGTCTATATCCTCGAGAGTGTGATGAGGTGTCATCACAAGAAGACTGTCATCGACATTTTTCATTTGGAAGTTGTTGACGACATTGATGCGTTCAACAACTATCCATGGGGCTAGAGATGCTACGAAGACACCATACATGTCTTCACCAGATTACACTCGAGGCCCAGGGGGTCGCGTAAATACGATACATATGGGTTGCCCTTAGCGGTGTAGGTAAATGTTTAATATAATTAAAGTTAAAGTTTTAGTATATTACATTTATGCATAATAAGTGTATGTGTTGCAGATTTGGGTGTATAAGACAGTCCCTGCACTGGGAGCCCGTTTCGCGAAGCGAGGGGAGACACGATGCCCTCAAATGCATCATTAGAGATCGTCGCGATCGGAGGGATGTCCCACTGGGAAACAGTTATCGGCCCTCCTCGACGATCCTCAGGTATGTATTATGCATTTGTGATTTACATTATACGTAGTTTAAATCTGTTTACATTATCGTTAACTAGTTCACATGTCTATGTCAGCTTGAAGTCATACCTGAGTTGATGTCGTCAATGGAGGAGGAGGCTCCGGGTCTTGTGTGGGATGTAGGTGTTCTGCACACCGAAGACGAACAGATGTCTGATCCGAGTGTGGACCGAGATTGGGTATGTGAATTAAATATAATTTATTGAATATCGTCGACGTATAAATTTATTTAATAATTTTTAATATTATTTATGCAGGAGGGCGGTCCAGCTGATCGACGATCACCTCCGCCGAGGGTATCGTTGCCACCATTGGCATCACCTCTGTCGAGGGCATCGTCGCCACCATTGGCATCGCCACCGTCGAGGGTATCTCCTTCTCCCTCGTCCAGACACGTCCCCCATGTATCGCCGACACACATTGATGATTTGTATGCCCGTCTGGATTTATAGCGGAGGAGGTCGGCGCGCTACGATGAGAGTCGATGGAGAGGGTCGATGATCGGGGACGAGAGTTAACCGGGAGGGTCGACGATCTAACGGAAAATGTCGACTATCTGACAGGGAGGGTCGACGATATGGGACGAGAGTTGACAGGGAGGGTTGACGATCTATCCCATGATGTTGGAACGCTACGGTCTTGCGTTGTCGACCTTCAGGATGCGGTAGCGACACTTAGAGGAGATTTAGTCGCTAGGCGATGAGGGGACAGAGAGGATGGTGGAGATGATCGAGAGGATGGCAGAGATGGTGATGGAGAGGGGGGTCACCCACATTTTTGGCATGACAAGACATTAGAGTCATTCTGGTTGTTTATGGAGGGGGATAGAGTGGCCCCGATGGGAGGGACAGATGAGGTGGCAACGGAAGAAGGGGCCTCGAAGGGCGAGAGGACGCCCATCGTGATTGAGGGTAAGAGACATGCTGTTGATGAGACGGAGCAGGTGGTCGGCAAGAGGTTGAGAGTGCCTTCACAGTATGTTGTTTTCCCCTTCATAGCTGAGGCCAAGAGGAGGATGTTCATCGATAGGACGTACTTGAACTTATTCAGAGAGGTGGACAATGCCAAGTGGAAAGCATTCGAGACGGAGTGGAAGAGAATT